CACCACACATTAAAATTTAAGTACGATCACAATTACGTTAAAAACTTTGATACACGTCATGATCACGTTAGAATATAAGATAAAAAACTTAATCACACATTAAAAGCAGTTTTAAAGACATAGGTTTTAAGAAACATTTGGATATAACTGTAAATATAACTCAAAATAGGTCATGACAACATTTGGACCTGTCATGAGAATGAATATCTCAGCTGTCACCTCCTCTCTCAGCTCCGTGTTTAATAGTTTACATTTACAAAATAGCCCCTGATGTAATTGTTGTGATTAGCATGTCTGCTCACATGCAGCTCGTCCAACACTGTCGAGCCGTCAGCTGTTTACTGCAGGCATGTGGCACATTACCACAGCAGCTGCCGGTGCCAAGGGCGCAGTGCAGCACTGAGAATAGGATATTGTTCATTGTCGAGGACAGTTTTCCATAATTCACTCGTCTGCGCTGACAGTCTGGATTCTATGAAACACATTTTAATCAGCTTGGAATCAAGTTTGCGGGAAATTAAAACCACACCCAGGCTCTGAAAATGTTTCTCACTTTCTTTAACATCGAGAGATTGGGAGTTTTTCAGTATTTTCACCATTTTCCCAGAACACAAAAATTAGACACGTTTAGGGAACTGATATCTATGATTGTGAGAAAGGTTGGGCCTTGGTGGAGGTTAAGTGCTATTCTAGTTTAAATTCAAATTATCTACCAAACAAATGTGAAACACATTTTAAAAACACGTCATTTATTTTGTGCATCTTTAATGTCATTGCTTCAGACTTTCAGCAACAGAGATTTTGTGATGTATTTGCAGCCGGCTTGCTTTTCTTGTGCAGATTTATTTTTCACATGCGACGTCGAACTCATGCTTGAGCAACAACATGTATCGCACACGGTAAACAAAAGTCTGACCAAGTCAGACCGACTGCAAAGAAGCAGTTGTTGCTAACAGCTGCTGAAGTGTGTGTGCATATGTGTGTGTGCTGGAGGGAGGGGTGGGGGGGTGGGGGGGAGGAGAGGGCAGCTGTCACACAGACAAACCGTGTGCTTCCTACGTGTCCTTATAAGGTCGAATGTCTCTCAAAACCATGAGCCATTTAACACAGACCTGCTTCATCCTGATAAAGACCTGGTGATAAAGATAGCACTCTGCCAAAAAGTGCTTCTTTGACATGGGGGGGGGGGGGGGGCTGTTGACAAAACACAGCGACAGCTTCACCCAAAAACTAACGGGATGTCTCTGCTCGTACTTTAAGTGGCTACTGAACATAGCAACAACTTCCACACTCACTTAATCCAGAGTTACATTTGTTTGGTTTGAATGCTTCTAAACCTGGAAGGTGAGAAAATGTGAGAAATATGGATTTAAAGCCTAAAAAAAAAAAAATCCGTAATTCAAGATTTAATTGAAATGGGAAACAGTGAAGCTGGTTTGGATTTGGTGCCGAAACTGCCGCTTGTTTTTCTGCTGTTAGAGTAAAAAACAAATATACTGTATGTGGAAGTTTCACTGTGATAACAAGAAAAACACTGAGATGAGATATGACCATGATGAGTGACATGTGACATCAACAGAGGTTTGTCATATTTTCAGAGATCACAGGCGTTACCCAAACCCCTCAAAGGATAGAACCAATTGTGTTATGTTATTATATATATAATGATAGTAATAAATCTTAGTTCTTTATAGGGCTTTTAACAATACTACTAAAGATTATAACTAAAGATGTACACATCGTAGTGGCACATTCAAATTTAAGATTATATTTTAATACAATATTAGAAATAATTTTTAGTTTTGACTCGTATTTTTTGGTCATTGGGCGAAAAAGCCTAATAAAGTTAAAACAAACTTAACAAGCAGATTCACTTTCTTCTTTAGACAGATTGCATTCTTTTATTGTTACATTTCCTGTTTGTATTGAACTTGGTCAGAAACTTTATCTAAGGGAGCAGCAATGTTGTAACTGGACATGTAGGTTAGTAGCATCTCTGTGCGAGCGGCATCACAGCACATGGCTACAAATGGAATATTTCAGTGTTGATGGTGCGGGGGGGTATTTACATTCTTACTGCACTCGCTGTGGCCTGATCGGCCTCCAGCATGGGGAGGTAGATGCCGCGGGGGCAGCGCGAGGTGACGAATAAGGAGCCTGAGCTCTCGTCATTCTAGCCTCAGTCTGGCACCTGTTACACTCCACTTCCCTAAAAGGAGACACTGGAGCCAATCAGAGCTGAGAGCCGGCGCTCGTCGTCGCCTCGCCGCGCAGGCCCCCCAGGGATCTGTCGTCTGTTGGAGGTCTGGGCACTGGCCTTTACTGCCTCCCACCCCCCCCTCCTCCCCTCCCACCCCCCCCTCCTCCCCTCCCCACTCTTACAGTATTGCCTCTCAGCTGTTTGGCATGTTGTTGGCCCTCTCCCCTCGTCGCTCTTCACACATGCCACGATGCCGGGGCAGGTTCCCCTTAGACGGCTCCTTGACCAAGTTGCTCAGGCATGGTCTTGGATTTCCTTCACACCCTCCGATCACCCACATCCCCGGTGCCCCGTTAGAGCTTAGTCATATTAACACATCCTCAGGGACCTGAAGGGCAGCTCCAGAAAGTGGGAGACAGATGCTGCTGTGTATGAAGCAGGAGCCTAAACTTACAGTTGATGATATTTGAGCCAAGAGTTTTCTTAACTGCCCCAAACACTGTACACCCTTGAATTCCAAAGCTGATTGATGTGCCATGAACATATTGTAGTCTAGTAAAGTCAAATACTGAGATAAAGTATTCTCCGTTTGTCTCAAACGTCAATATTATGATTGTGAGACACTACAATCACATCAAACTGTCAATTTATCCATCAAATGTCATTTAATCCTCGTCCCTCCAGACTTCATAAGACCTCCCACTAAACTTTACTTCTCTCTGTCATCTTTCATCTCCAAGGCAACTTTTCTCCACTTTGGTGTTGTCCCTGACACAGGATCCACTTTACTGAACCATTTTGCTAAGCAGCACTTAATTTGGGCTTGTGTGAACCCCTGGGCCCGCCCACAGGCTCCCGGCCTCAGGACGGCGGGATGTATTTAAGGACCCCCTCGCACCCTCGCTCCTCGTCCCAGTGGAAAATCCAGTCTTGTGGTTACAGCTCGGTGAGTCCTTTTGCTGTTTGGTTGCTGGTTTGTGGCAGGATGAGGGGCCGCAGCATGGATATATTTCACTGTTACAGTTTTCTATGATCAGAGTAGGTGATGATGTTGTTGGAGGAAAGATTAAATCTTTACGTTAGAGAAGAAGACAAGTGGAAACATGGAGGGAAACTATTGCATTAATATGGACTTATCATCTTGGTGCATTAACAGTGGCTTGAACTCCACAGATCAGGAAATACTCTGAGGCTTAGGGTGCAAGGATGCTCAGTGTGCAGGAGTGCAGCTCTGACTCAGGCTGGATACAACCTGAGGAAGTTTATTTAATTTAAAGGCAATTTGACTGAATTTGACCATTTAAATAACTTTAATTTAAACAGGGATGAAAATCTTATAGCACTGTGGAAAAGTTAAATTCTTCACTGAGACTAATTAAGTCTAATGTGCCTCTATTCTGTCCAGGAGACACTTTAAAAATGAAACATTTTAACTTGTTTAAAAGTTTGAATTCAAATTTACAAAATGAAATTGGAATAATTACAAGTATTTTCTGTATTAGAGGCAGTTGTTTAAATGCAGGATGGAAAGCCCAGGATACAGATGTCTTTACAGTTATTCATTTTAAACCTTTTTAAAATCATGTTCACTCTGTTGGACTTAGACACGTCCATGTTTACTTGTGTACAAGTTGAACTGAATTTTGTTTAAGTTAATGAATAATTAGATAGCATTGATTCACAAAAGCAGATTTAAAACAATATTGCTCTCATATATCAAAATAAGGAGGAAGCTTCCAGGCTTTTTCAGGAGCAACATTACAGCTGGCTCTCTCTCTCGATAGATAGATAGATAGATAGATAGATAGATAGATAGATAGATAGATGGATAGATAGATAGATGGATAGACAGATGCAGGGGAACACATGTTCCGGCTTCAAACAGAGGAGTCGTCTATGTGGCGACAGCTGAGGAGAGACCCGGGCCACTTGTCAAAAGACACACTACCTCAGCTGTTAACTGGCTCCGGCTCCACGACGAGATACAGAGCAGGCGTTGTGAGGGCAGAGGGGGTTGACAAGGGTCCCGTGGCTGAAAATAGACCTGTGAGTGTGTGTGTGTGGGGGGGGGGGGGGGGGGGGGGGGGGGGGGGATTAGAGGTGTCTTCAATCTGAACATGTAGCGCACATTGTTGTTTTAGGAAATCAGGGTCTTATTCCCTCTTGAATATTCAGCTTGATCATACAAAGTACAACTGAAAACTTGATCCAGACAGAATAACACATGAATTTCACCCACTGACGTTTTGCCCGTGTCTCCATCTCATGTCTCCTGCAGAAGGCCAGAACAGAAAAGACCAAACATGTGCGACGACGACGAGACCACCGCCCTGGTGTGCGACAACGGCTCTGGCCTGGTCAAGGCTGGGTTCGCCGGTGATGACGCCCCCCGTGCTGTCTTCCCATCCATTGTCGGACGCCCCCGTCACCAGGTAGGAACGCTGAGAGGGCCCCGAGTTTGAGCAAGATGAGAATGTTTGCAGCTGTTGAGATCCTGAGGTGTGACTGTTTGGTTCTCAGGGCGTGATGGTGGGTATGGGTCAGAAGGACAGCTACGTGGGAGACGAGGCCCAGAGCAAGAGGGGTATCCTGACTCTGAAGTACCCCATCGAGCACGGCATCATCACCAACTGGGACGACATGGAGAAGGTGGGAATGGGAACAGTATTTCAGTAGGGCTGTTTTTCTCATCAACTTGGTCAAATTCCTCATCCTCGCCCTGGATTTTGCAGATCTGGCATCACACCTTCTACAACGAGCTCCGTGTGGCCCCAGAGGAGCACCCCACCCTGCTGACTGAGGCCCCCCTGAACCCCAAGGCAAACAGGGAGAAGATGACACAGATCATGTTTGAGACCTTCAACGTCCCCGCCATGTACGTGGCCATCCAGGCTGTGCTGTCCCTGTACGCCTCTGGTCGTACCACCGGTGAGTGTCCATCAGGGACTTGAACTCACTTCACCGGCTGACAGAAGTGCACACTTTATTTGTCGTGTCCTGACAAGCTGCTGTTTTTGTTTCTGGACAGGTATTGTGCTGGACTCTGGTGATGGTGTGACCCACAACGTGCCCATCTATGAGGGTTACGCTCTGCCCCACGCCATCATGCGCCTGGATCTGGCTGGTCGCGACCTGACTGACTACCTGATGAAGATCCTGACTGAGCGTGGATACTCCTTCGTCACAACTGGTGAGAAATACTTTCAGACGTCCCGGACAACTCGCTCAGAATCAGTTTTGTACACTCACTTTAACACAGGGTAAGGTTTTAAATCATAAGCAAAAGTCAAAATGTGCATTTAATCACTAAATATTTCAAACTTAATCAGTTATTTCCTCTTTCAAAAAGCAGATAGTCTAAGTTTAAACATGAGGATAATGAAGATAAAAGTGCTGTGGAGCTTAACTTTACTCAACTGCCTCCCTACATGAATACTTTAAATGTGTCAGTCTGTGTTGTTGTGAGACCCTGGTCGACTGACCCTGTGACGTTTCCTCCCTCCAGCTGAGCGTGAGATCGTGCGTGACATCAAGGAGAAGCTGTGCTACGTGGCTCTGGACTTCGAGAACGAGATGGCCACCGCCGCCTCCTCCTCCTCCCTGGAGAAGAGCTACGAGCTGCCCGACGGTCAGGTCATCACCATCGGCAACGAGCGTTTCCGCTGCCCCGAGACCCTGTTCCAGCCCTCCTTCATCGGTGAGTCAGCGGTCACTCACTCCACAAGTCATATCCACACGTGACTGAGTTTCATGGAGACAGACGCAGTCCAGAGAGTTTCGAATAAAAACTGTTTGTACAATTTCACAATATTGTTAATATGATATAAGAATATTGCATGAGCTGTAAAAATGACTGGATTGTCATGGACGCCCTGTGGCCTATGACCTTTGTTTCCTTGCTTTGCTCTACATCACTTTTAACTTTGTCGTTTATGCTCATTTCCGTAAGTGTAACTCACCTTTCCCCGTCTCACCTGCCCAGGTATGGAGTCTGCTGGTATCCATGAGACCGCCTACAACAGCATCATGAAGTGCGACATCGACATCCGTAAGGACCTGTACGCCAACAACGTGCTGTCCGGCGGTACCACCATGTACCCCGGTATTGCTGACCGCATGCAGAAGGAGATCACCGCCCTGGCCCCCAGCACCATGAAGATCAAGGTGAGCCCAGTGCGCCCTGACCTGTTTGAATCCCCATGTAAAGTACTCTGGTACCAACCTGTTCCTCTGCTCCTCCTCTCCAGATCATCGCTCCCCCTGAGAGGAAATACTCCGTCTGGATCGGCGGCTCCATCCTGGCCTCTCTGTCCACCTTCCAGCAGATGTGGATCAGCAAGCAGGAGTACGATGAGGCCGGCCCCTCCATCGTCCACAGGAAGTGCTTCTAAACCTCCAGCCAGCACCAAAAAAAACCCAAAACCAACCACACCAGCTCTCCCTCCGTATCTTTATTTCTACTGTGCCTTTTGCTGTATATACATGTTCTGTTGTAATAAAAATAGTTGCTTTTAACAATAATCTGTTGTTGGAGTCTGTGTCAGAAAGCTGTTAAATACACTTTTCACAAACATCTACAGATTCATTTAAAGCAGTGGTTATTGATATATAATCATGATTAACTTTCTTTCCAAGATTTATGAAACACAAGAGTTTTGTTTTTTGGATTAAACAAATATTGATTTCAAGCACTATCAATCTAATTCTGTGAAATAAAATAGAACTGTTTTCAATTTTCAATATATACATTTATATCTCTTCATATCACCAGAGGTGAAAATAAAAATCTGAGGAATACAGTTCCAACAAATAAAAAGTGTATGGCTGTATAAACTTAATTGAAAAATGGTTCCTCATGAGATCAGATGCTGGAAATTAATCAAAATGAGTCAAAACCTTCAGCAACACACAAAGTTTGTTCCTAATCCAATATGTCCCGAAATAGATGGACACTCAAGAGACATATTTTATCACATTATATCATAAATAATGTGAAAATATAGAAGCATCAGTAAGAAAGTAATAAACAAGTGAAAATTTGATAGAAACAAAAAGAAATATATAAATAGAAATCACATCTTTCAGCCTGTGACGTGCTTGTGGTCTGGGAGCAGTTCTGGTTGTACTTCTGGACATATAATGGTTGATATTTCTATACTTTCTCATCACGTTTTACTCCAAAATAAAACAGGCAATAAGCAAAATCTGAGAAACTGCTGTTTTGCCGAATGAAATCTGAAGTGAGCTGTTTTGGGGGTTGAAAGCTCACATCTCCCTCATTTCCCATGACACCTGAACGCAGCAGCCCCTGTGTCTCAGGTGAAAGGGATGAGCCTGATGACGCCTCCCTCACTCCTCAGGGATTCTAGCAGATCTATGTTCATCTGAATGGTTCCGGGCTTCTCTCAGATCTATGGAGGTCACAGACAGTAACGTGATTCGTTTCCACCTGCAGGTTCTTCATGGGATCACCGTGAAGAGCTTGGAGAAGAGGAAGGAGAGGCTGTTCATCGGTGGCCTCAAGATCTTTGGTGTTCCTCTGGAGAATTTACCCAGGAGATACATCCCTGAGTTTGGACTCGTGCCCTGGTAAGTTTTTGGAAACTTTTGATGTCTCTCAGGATAAAGCGTCAGAGAAAAAAAAAACACAGTTTGAATTTGATTTGTTTCAGTTTTTTGGTGGATGCTGGCTCGTTTCTTCTGGACCGAGCTGGGACTGTGGGTCTGTTCAGGAAACCAGGCTCTCTTCCTCGCATCAAGACGCTCAGAGTAACATTCTGACCTTTTGTATTAAGTCATATTATACAATCTACAGTTGTTTTTAACTAAATGTGGTGCAAAGTGTTTTAATCTGGTCTTGTCTGAGTGAGTGTGCATGTCTGGTGTTTTCAGGCCAAGCTGAACCGAGGGGAGGGCTGTCTTTCCACCGCGCTCCCCTACGACGTGGCCACGCTCATCAAACAGTTCTGCAGGGAGCTGCCGGAGCCTCTGTTTCCCCCTGAGCTCCACGCCGCTCTGCTCAAGGCCCAGTCGCTGTCCAACGCGCAGGACAGGACGTCCGCCCTCCAGCTGCTGTCCTGTCTGCTCCCTGCCAGAAACTCCTCCTGTCTGCATTTCCTCTTCAACTTCCTCTCTGGAGTGTCCCAGAGGTATGAACGGCCTCAAGGGCACGGGTCAAGGCTGCTGTGGCCTTAGAAAAATATCTGTTCTCCTCTTTGTTCAGATGCACCGAGAACTTGATGACCAGCTCCAACATCGCCACAGTCTTTGTCCCGTGTCTTTTACCTCCTCCCAACAAGACTGAGATGTCCGAAAGTCGACTGGAGCTACGAGTTCTCGTCCTGCGCACCTTCATTGAAAATCCTCACTTGTTCGGTAACAACTCAACCCTTTAAATAAAACTAAATGTATTTGCATGGGCTGTAGATGTACTCTGTTGATCATCTACCATATTCACTAGGTGTGATTCCTAAGGTTGTAATGGACAGTACGGAATTCCTGATGAACTTCCATTTTCCCAAACATGCTCATCCAAAGAAAGGACCAAGAAAGAGACATAGTTTAAAAGGTAGAAGAGAAGAAAAAATGCCATAACAGTGTCAAATACAAAATGGATTTATCGTCTTTAATTGATTTTCTCCAACATGTAGTGATGCAGTCTGTGAAGGGGAGGTCAAAGGTCACGGCTGCTGTCTCTGAGCAGAGCCAAGATTCGACACCAGAGGGCAGACCGACCCTCAGGAGAAGCCTCGGGTTGGAGACTTTCCCCAACGTCCAGCTGTTCCGGACGTGTCTGCCCTGCACAGGTTAGAACAGAGAACCAGTCATTCTAATGTTCATTCATTGTTAAACATGCGAACAAATCATTTAAATCATTTACAGAACAAGGTTTCAAACCTGCGACAGATGTTTCCAGGCCCATGAGCGACGAGGCGTGTAAGATGCGGCAGGAGAGACGAAGAAGGTGAATTCAGGCATTAATGAGTTTGATGGTTCACTGACTTGGAAAAGGGAAACAGGTTTTATGACGCTCGTCAGAATCAGGTCTGAACTGTGGATCAGTTAAAAAGTCGTTAAAAACCTGCGTTTATCTCCAGAACTCAGCCTGGAAACATTTTCAAGTATGTTTGGTGGATTCTGGCTCAGGAAGCCGGGAATCATGGGTAATATGCACTGTTGAGTTGTTTGAGATGAGTGAGCAGGAGTGTACAGTCAGAGAGTTACCATGTGTGGCTGCAGAGGGCGCAGTAGAAGTTGCACAACTTTCCTTTAAAAACCACAATAACACTTCATCACACACACACACACACTTTTTACTGTCGTTGTGTCCCTGTTTGTTGCAGCGACCTGCGTCTGGGTCACTTCTCCTGCAGGCTGACCAGAGGCCTGGCTGCAGACAGCTGGCCTGTGCTCACCGGTGTGGGGAAGCTGCAGCTCACACCCTGGAGACGACGCTCTTCACTCTGACGTGTATGTCAAGTACTAAGGAGCGGCCATGTTGGTTCTATCTCTGACGGGGCAGCTTTTATTCAGAAGCTCCAGTCACTTAAACTGTATTTTAATATTTTACCTTTTAAATCATTTATGTATCTGGCTATTTATTTCACAACAGACTCTTTGTATGGCTAGATATTCGCCATACTTTTAAATATATATGAAGAAGTGAATAAATATTTTTTCAAATGCGTATCTTTTACCTGCACGTGTCCAAACTGAAACACTTTAAAAGTAACTATTGATTATTTTAAAGTGCACATCGTGCAGAATTAAGCCAACAAGCCTTTTTTATTTTGTTTTCTAGTTATTTCTAATAAAATTAAGGGAGAGAGGTCTTTTATTCTGGACTACATCATCAAAACGGAGTCTAAAAGTAAAATATATTACATATATAATCTAAGAGTAGAGGTTCTGTAAATAGAAGCTTGGTAACTCTGTGGTTTCCTGTTTTGATGGATGAAGCCTCTTCTCTCGCTGCGGTCATGTTGTGGCTCTGTACAGATAATTGGCTCCGCAGCCAATGAGAGAGGAGGGATTCGTGGTTGCCTAGCAACTGCATCTGAACCGTGAAGCGAGGCGGATCGCGCGCGCTCCCTCCGGGGGGGGGGGGGTGATTGCGTAACAGGCGTAGAAGGTGACGCCGGAAACTGAGAATTTCCCTTCACAATAAAGTCAGAGGGACGGTTATTTTTACCAAACGGCAGAACACAAGAATTACGTGTGAACTCTAAAGAACATCAGTTCAGTTAGACGCGGTTGATTTTTATTTGGTATGAATGTGGTGTGGGTAAAATCTTAAAAAAAAAAAAAAAAAAAAAGTTATTTCCTCGTGAAGTTTTATTTTTGGGGAAAACCGGAAATCCAGGCTGCTTTATAGGCAGCTCGACAGATTCCTCGTGCACAGAACAGGTCCCATCATCAGCATCAACACGGTAAGAGCAAATACATCTTTAATCCATTTCTAATCTCTTAATAATAGAATGACATGAAGTAAATCCCATTAAATCCAGCTTTAATAATAAAAGATGTTATAGATGAGACATGTTGGCTGTTTATAGATGATTTGCATTGAAGGCTTTGTTTACACTGGTTTTATTCTCCTTGATGTGATAGACCCACCATGTTTACTGTGGATTGATCTGCAGCTGTTTGCACATGGTTCAGTCTCATGTCTTGTCCCCGCAGATGACACACTCGGGCCCCGCGATGCGCTTCTCTCTGCTCAGCCTCCTCCTGTGGCTGCAGCTCGGCACGGCTCCGGCCCGCAGCCCCCGCACGGTGGACCAGGTGTCCGAGGCCGACATCCAGCGGCTGCTGCACGGCGTCATGGAGCAGCTGGGCATCGCCAGGCCCCGGGTGGAGTATCCGGCCCACCAGGCGACCAACATCGTCGGGCCCCAGAGCATCCAGGGTGAGAGGAGCTGGGTTTAATAAAAGTAGAGTCCAGTTCAGACGAATCAGCTGGTTGTCACATGGAATGTCTTTATGTTTATTTGAAATATTAAAGGCTTAATGATTTAATCTACACATTTGAAAAGGAGTGAGAAGAAGTAGAAACTTATTTAATCTCACCCCTTTGCCATAAATCATTAATTAATAATTGTTATTCCAGCTTCCTACAATAATATAAAATGGCACCAGCACTGATATATTTTCTACATTTGTTGAAGTTCTTTTAACATCACAGGAGAAAAAAAAACTCTGTCTCTTCAAGTGGTGTTGTACAGATTTTACAAACTTTAAGTTCCCTTACATCTAAATGTTCTGTTACCTAAAGTTGTGTTGAACCTAAAACGGGTTAAAACCTGTAGAACATGATTTCCAGTTGGATCATTTGTGTGACATGATGCCTGTGGAGGTTCTGCTGTGTCTCTTGTTTTTGTGTTGACGTGTCATGTTTGTGTTGCTCCACCAGGAGGTGCACACGAGGGGCTGCAGCACCTCGGCCCTTATGGAAACATCCCAAACATTGTGGCTGAGCTGGCGGGCGACAACGTTCCCAAAGACTTCAGTAACGACCACGGATACCCAGACCCTCCAAACCCCTGTCCCCTGGGGAAGACAGGTGGAGACGCCTACACATGATCATTATTATTATTATTATTATTATTATTATTATTATAAGTTTTTACACACTCTTCTGTAAAACCAGCAGGTTAGAGTTCAGTTCTTCTAACAGACCTGTGCTTTGAAATCAAATGTTATTGAAGCTGCCACAGTTAATGTGAACTTCTACGAAACAAAACACATGTTGTACTTTTTGATTAATTGCTGATATTACCCATCATGCCTGCTGCACAGTTAAGATGATGCCCTTCTGTCTGTTCTCCTGCGTCTTCTCTGGTTTTATCAGCGGCAGACGGCTGTTTGGAAAACGCTCCGGACACGGCCGAGTTCAGCAGAGAGTTCCAGAAACACCAGCATCTGTTTGACCCAGAGCACGACTACCCAGCTCTGGCCAAGTGGGTGAGTACAGAGTGGATCTGCAAGAACGGATCTTCACAGAAGTGAAGACAAGCAGCAAATCCTCATATTCTCAAAGCTGGAAACGGCAAATGTTGAAAGTAATAGATGATTAAATACACAAATTAATTTTTAAAAGATTATTCAGGTTTCTTCAACTGTAAATAAAGTAAATTAGCTTTTTAGCCACTTGAGACACTCAGATACACTTATATATACACAACATGGCTCCTTTGGCATTAATGAAAACCTCAGACTGCCACTTAGAGGTTTGAAAAAGAGAAATTCGTCTTTGGACACAGACGATACAGCTGCAGTGATTTATTGTCCACTCGTGACTGTCAAATAAAGACGAGACTTTTCTCAATCAAAAGATCAAACTAGTTTGTCATTTGCATGGATTCATTTTTTTGTATCTCGGGAGTTTTGGTTTGAAGAAGTCACCACTTTGAGGATTTTTATTCTTTTGAAAACACATTTGGGCAATTTGACTGTTTGTTTTTTTTTCTGTGTTTCCTCTCAGAACAAGGAACTTCTGTACCAAAAGCTGAAGGGAGGACCGAAGAGAAGAAAAAGGGTATAGTGTTACTTGGTTGTCTTTGTCCCTTTTCCTGTGAAGAGTTGTGTTAGAAACCACATCACCAGAACTGAGACTTACCACAGGAGACATCGATCTTCTGTTAAACTCACATTCTGTTCTGTTTTACTCACATTTTTCTTCACAGCATGTTTGCACAATCACATTTTTCTCTCCGTGTTTGCAGAGTGTCAACCCGTATTTAATGGGCCAGAGGCTGAACAACGTGGTCGCCAAGAAATCTGTTCCTCACTTCTCAGAGGAAGAGGAGGAGCGGGCGCCGACCGTCTCTGCTGCCGCCGCCAAATCCACGACCTAAACCCCTGCAGCCGCAGCACTCACTGTAATATTAAAGTACACATACAAGTTTTAACACCGCATGTTTTAAGTATTTTGGTTGAAAGCATTGAAATAGAGAATTCACTGGAGGCACACTGAAATAAGAAATGGAAAAAATGGATAAAGGATGAGAAATTTGAAAGGGTTTTTTATTTTGATTGACCCAATTCACTAATCAGGCACAACATATGGTCTTTACTTTTAACACGTGGGAATTATAATCTGACTCCCACAGAAACTACTAAACGATTGTTTTTGTCGACTGCATTCGCTCCCTGCTCCTCCTGTAGAGATGCAGTATCACCTGGTATAGTCAGTTACACACACAGGGGTTTCTGATTGGTCAAACTCTTAAAATATCGCTCCGTCGCCACAATGCCAGTTGCTAGGACAACATTTAATTATCCGAGCTGCCTTATCAGGAAAGTTTCCACCTGCGCTCTGGTGCTGCAGCGTACCTCCACCCTCAGTGACCTTGGAAGATAACGAAGAGTCTGCAGGTCAACATGATCTTTCTCTTCTCCACCGTCACTAAATGCATCATTGGCTTTGTTGAATATATAAATTAAATGAGCGCCGGTTTCCTTCAACACTAAGGTCACTGAACGGTTACAAACAACAATCAGCTTCTTTTAATGGGTTTTACAATTTAGTTCGATATCTTTTTTTCTTTCACCGTTAATTGATCATAAAGAAACACAGGACATCAAGAGTCAAGTGAATATTTTCAAACTGATTAGTTTTCTGAACAGCAGAAAAAAACCCATCAAATATCTGATGAACCCAAACCTGGGGTCATTTAGAGAAAGGAAGTGGTTTTCAGTATAAATCCAGGAGTGTAAAATAATCCCATTGCCTTAGATTCAACCCAAAATAAGAGAATGTGTGGTGTTAAAAACAAACCTGACAGTGTACAACATATCTACAACTGTATTATATAAGTTGTATAAAGATATATTGATTTGGAGGAATGTTGAATCAGTAAGATTATTATTCACAACTGTAAAAAGATCAATTAACTCACTGATGTTTAGTTTTTTATGTCATGATATGAACAGTCAATCACCTTGGTGTCTTGAAGCAAAGATTCAATATATTCATAGAAGTTAATAAGCTTTGTTCTCTCCTGTGTAAGGAATCATTATGAAATGTTTCACTGTAGCATGTAAACAACATTATTCAGACTGGGATCTATCCACTTCTCTAAACTGTAGTAAACAGGAGTCTCCACGGGCACTGGAATCTCTCTCGGGTCACTTTATGTTGCCAAATGTGTTTTTGTTGTTCTGTAAAGTCAAATAAACGATTTATCTGCATTGACCAAGTTGGGAGGAGGAGGATGGATGTTTTCTTCTCAGACAGATAAAGTTAGGATCAGGGTTTGGGGGCGTGTTCTGCTGAGGCTATGAAACTCAAGACAAGTTTAGGAAACTCCTCAGTGTGTCATTCATAAAGCCCCAGCAGAGAGGACAGAAACAAGAGTCTGACTGGATCGACTTTTCTTTTGAGGAGTTTAAATCCCCAACAGGTAACTCTTCTGACTTTGTTTATTAAGTTAACAAAGAAACATAACGTTCAGATTTAGTTTTTGCTGGAAACCATTGTGCGCAATTTGTGCGTAAAAGTTGTGCGTAAACGCTCTCCACACTGAACTGAAGTCTATTTTGTTTTCCTGTCAGCTTCCATGATGAGGACACCGTCAGTGCTGATCCCTGCAGTAGTTGTGTTGCTGCTGCTCAACCCGCCGAGGTGCACAGATGCTGCGACCTTTCAGGGCGCGTTACCGCATCCAAACAAATTCATCCCGAACGACTCGGAGAGATGTGTCCAACCCGCCATCGGAGGACTCGTATCCCGCGGGCCGGGACCCGTGACCTCCACCGACGAAGTGCTGGAGTCCAGTCAGGAGGCGCTGCACGTCACGGAGCGCCGGTACCTGCGGCTGGACTGGTGCAAGACGCAGCCGCTGAAGCAGACGATCCGGGAGGAGGGCTGCCTGAGCCGCACCATCATCAACCGCTTCTGCTACGGACAGTGCAACTCCTTCTACATCCCGCGGCACATCTACCAGGACGGCGACGCCTTCCAGTCCTGCTCCGCCTGCAAACCCAAGACCTTCAGCACCGTCACGTACACGCTCTTCTGTCCGGGACTAACACCGAGCACCAGGAAGAAACGGGTGCAGCGCGTGAAGCAGTGCCGCTGCACGACCATAGATACGGATTAGATGGAAACGGTGTTCAGTGGGAGAGAAGCTGCTTCCACACCATGAGAATCAAGTGATGAGGAATTTACCCCGAACCTTTGTTGTAACGGAGAGAGGATACTCACCGAATATGCCACTAATTTTGCTGATATAATAAACTTGTGGTTGATTCAGGTGCCATTTGACCTGCAGTCAATAATTTATCACACTGAACTTTGTCATGTGTTGTCTTTCTATGTGTGTAAACAGATTTAGAGGCTTTGTGTGCAAAAGAGATCGAGTTAAAGCTAAATTCTTTATTTCTTCAGGCTGGTGGACAAAGCAGGAAAAGGAGGACGTGTCTTTGAGAGGACTTGGTTTCATTCTTTCCACTGTGTGGGATCTAAAGTCAAATGCTTCCATTATATCAAATTTTTTTTTTCTGTACAACTTGCACTGCTTAAATGCCACTTGTGTGATTTGTGTACCGTGTACTTGTAAATAAAATAAATCTTTCCAAGCTGTAACATCACCTCATTTCTGATCAGTGATTTTTTTTATTTGTGAAAAAAAATGCGGTAAAAGATTCTTGACTATACAAATAAGAATTTGTAACGTGCACGGTTAAATTCTGTTTCAGTCATTTTAAATTTAAACACATTCTCAGTAAGAAGTTCTGGTAAATAGAGTCTGTAAAGAAAAGGTGAAATGTTGGTTTGATGCCACGTAAAAAGAAACCCTACAAACTAACTCAACAAGGATATCTGTGTCTGATCCAAACAGGAGGAAATGATGTCAGAGGGGACGTCTCTTAAGTTGAAGACATGTTTGCTTCTTTCTGACGCAGTCGTTGTTTCTGTTGGGAGCAAAATCAAGACAATGTCGCTGCAGCACAACAGAAGATGGTTCAATAGTTTCTGCTTCTACTTCTTGTTTGGTGTATTGTGTGTATTGTCTGTGCGATGTGTTGTGTTACTGTAACTTACCAGGCTGTTGGGGTTGATCTTTCTCGTTTCCACTTTTTTCTCCGCCGTGATTCGCTTCACTGAGAGCTGAGCCTCCTTTAACCTGCAGCAGAAGAATCAGCTCATTGAGGCCGCAGCGTCTGACGGGTTCATTTAAACGTGAAGATTGTCTTGTGTTTGGTTTCGTTGTCTTCCCAAGTTGACTTTGTCTCCATCTTCTACGTGAGTGTCTCCAGTTTTTATCCTGAGATATTTATATTTATAGATATTTAAAGATATATTCTTTATGTTTTATCACTTTTGACATCAACACGTCCACTCGCTCGCTCTGAATCTTCAGGACATTGTCCTGCTGTCTTCTCACATGGACTCACTCTGAAATAAATCAGATATTTGACCAGGGGGCCGAAAAGTTCTGGAAAATGTCCTGAGTCCCTGACTTGTGTTCTTATACAGCCCCTCCGGACAATTTCAGGAACAATCTGAAGCTCTTGACTTGTATCTGCCTGATTTTATGCCTTGAACTGCTGCCACACGATTGGCTGATTGGATAATAGCATGAATAAATAAGTGTACAGATGTTCTTAATAAAAAGCTCAGCGCGTGCACACAGACGTCAGTTACCTCTCTTTAGAGATCGTCTTATTCTCCCTCTTCCACCTGACTTTGAAGTCGGCACAAAACTCAAACCAGAGCATGAAGAAATGAGCGGCAGTCACGTCCTTCTCTCCGGTCTTCGGCTTCAGTCCGAAATACAGAACCGAGTCTTGGAAACTGAGCAGCGAGAAGAAGAAGAAAAAAGAAATAATCAAAAACACACATAACTGAGATAGAGATGCAGATTTATTTCAGTTAAACAGGATTTTCATCTCAGGCTTCATTAGTTTGCTTTTCCAGGGAAGTCAAAATAGTTTCTAAATCATTTCAGTCCATCAAATAATCACTTCAGATATTCTAATGTCAGGAATGTCGGGTTGAATTCAAGTCTCTGACCTTTTTTGCACAGTCCCCAGTTGATGGGAAGCTTCTGCATGTTCCTTTCGTGCTGCAAAGAGACATTAAAACCGTTTCTGTCAGTTTCTCCAAACACGACTGAAGAAACTTTAACGAGCCATAATCCCTCACGTGGGTCCAGCAATTTATTTCACTTTGTTTAACAGTGAAATATCAGGCGTTTTTCAACATCTTCAATCATTTTTAATTTTTAACTATTGCCTCGTTCTTGATTGAAAAAGTCCGGGATAATTAGCAGGCTGGTATTTAATGTGTACAATTTGGTGCGGATCCAGATTGTTGGGCCTTGGGCACAGGTGTGTGCTCTAATACAGTTGTGGTACTTGTCTTAAAAACATATTTTAATTGACAACTACTGCATTTTGAGAGAAAGAAAATGTTTCAGACCAACTTCACATCTTCTATATGACATATAAAGGCTAGAAAAAGGTGTGTGGCAGAAAAGCTGTTAGTAAGATGAACAGAGTTCTCTTGGACCTCTATATCTGTCTGTAGTCTGATTAGTTTAGTTTATTACTGCTGGGGGTGGAGGGCTCCTGTAGCCGACATGAGTTCTACATATTTAAACAAAGTGGCTCGGTCGGTTGAAAGAATATTTTCTGAGGAACAGCCTGTGTGTCTCAGGCATGAGTCTCTCAGTCATTGCCAAATCTGTGTGATCCTTATCTGAGTGTCTAGCCTGTACTCCACCCTATCTCCACCCACACACACACACACACGCAGAAGGGAAAAGTGAAGGAGAGCACAGCTGAACTAAATTAGACAACCTCCTTGAAAATAATCAGAATCTAAGGGACGGAAAACCTTCAGTGCAGCTACAAAAACACAATACAAGCAATTATTTGATCTGTTTACTTCAAATAATCACCAAAAGAAACTTCACAATCTTAATTTGAGTATTATTTTAGTATTTCAGTGAGTGTCACTGTCAACACATACTGACGTGTTTGTCAAAAGGTGTTTGTCGTTACCTCACATGACGTGTGACCACTCTCCACTCACCACTGAGAACAAAAGCCTCCATCTTGTCTTTAAACGGCTGCAGGTGTTCTTCAGGTGAGTCGGAGCAAACCTCCTTCACACTGTTCTCACATCCTGAAAGAGAGAAGCAGCACGGGTGAAGTTTGTTGTTAGGACACAGTCACAGTCCAGGATGTGATTCTTCATTATCGCTTGTTTGTAGTAAAGAGAAAAAGAGCTGAACAATTAACACGAGCCATGAAAACCAAAGCAGAAATCCCAGTGAGGAAGAGATACCTGGGAAATGCAGTGCTGATTGTATGGGGGATGCAGATAACCATAATCATATCAAACCCTTATGACAAAGAAATGTAACTGAAGCCGGATATTTTACAGTTTTACCGTAAATGTTATTAAAAATAACCATAAATAAAAAGGAAACGTTTCTATATTAGTCAAAGAATAGGAACGTTTCTGGCACAAACATGCAGCAATTTATTATCTTAGAGCCAGTATGAAGAAAATCTAAGACAGAAACAGAATGTGCAAGTTAAAACCACGAGGAAGCAACGTCTTGAGAAGCAAAACATGTTGATATGTGGACTTAAAAACCCAGAAATCATTTCACATTTCACCTAAAATGCTTCTTCTCAGGACGGACTGCATCAAGATTCTTCTATTTAGTATTAATGCATCATTGTACTGTGTGTAACTTTTCTTTATTCTAGCAGAAGAGAAAGTTCTGACTTAAACTAACTCCACCTGTGCCCGAGCAGGAGGCCATCAGCACCACTTCCTCCTCAGATATCACTCATTGAGATTCACCCAGAGATGGCGACTGCTGACTCTGCTCTCCCTCTCTTCCTCTGCAGCTCCGAGCTGCTCTGCGTCCAATCAGTGGATCAGAGGAGCCAGTCTGCGGAGCCAGTCATAATAGAGGCTGCAGAGGGAGCCGAGACCCCCCCCTCACCCAACCCTGACGCTCGATCAACATCTCCCAGATAAGATTACAAAAGAATACTGTTTTCATTCAGGATTTGTGTAAACTGTGGAGGCGGGTATCTCTCTGTACATGGTGTGGCGAGCCGTCCTCTTTCTTTTTGTCCGCCTCTTGAGCCTGACCAAAGTTTGCTTGTTTCAGGCTGAAGAGGGTTTTTACAGCGTCACGTAAACAGAGTGAGCCGATGAGGAGTGCGGTGAGACTGTAATTAGTGATTTGGTCTCAGTGACAGAAAAATGCTTTTTAAAAGAGATCTGAGGGTTCGTGGTGATGATGCGTTTGGATCGGTCACCTCATAAATCCCAGTTTTACTCCCGACAGGTTCCACAATGAGTTAATCTATCGAAGAAGTCAGGCAGAACACTAGAGCGGACAGAAAGTCTTCAAACGCAGTCGTGTCTTCATAACCCACAGCCCAGATACCTGATCATGAGAGAAACAGTTATGAGAGCTCTTTATTTAATGGCTATCCAAAACCTCTTCATCACGCAGCAAACAAACTGAACCAAACTGGATCCAGACTGAATCAACTTAATTTAGCTTGATAGGTCTGCACCTTGGAACCTCTCACACTCGTTATTTTGGTTCGGACTAAAGTGAAAAGTCAGAGGGTCCAAACATGGTAGTTGTGAAAACGCCCCAAGCATCAGCAACCAGGCTATCAGCTTTATGAGGCAGAAAAAACTGTTGAGATGTTCACTCTTAATAACAAATGAATCTCAGATGTCGATATCTCAAAACCTGGACAAAATGAAAATAATTTAAAATATATATATATGTATATAACTGGATTGATTGAAAGAAAACATGTTTTTTATATTCAAGTCAAGTTTAGTTAGAACAGCACAGTTTCATACAGATGTAGCCGAAGATGCTTCACACCAGAATAAAGCCATGAAATAAAGATGGATCTCATTTCCCTCAACAGTCAACATGGCTGACTTGAGAGAAACTTATCTCCCCCGAACTGTGTCGGGAGACGTTTCACTCTGACCAAACAGAAAAACAGAGGGAGAGTGAAGAGCGGCAGCAGCAGAGCTTCAAACCAGGCATGAGGGTGGTTCAAACAGCCAGAACAAAAGGAACCTGCGACGGCTGATCTAGATTGCACGGTGGTTTGGGTCGACGGCCCGATAAGACCAAGCTGTGTTGAGAGGCAAAGAAACATATCTGAGAAACACATCTGTGGGCCACACTGGAGCCCAGGTGATACAGCCGAGCAGGTTAAGGATCCACGCATCTCAGCAGAGGTCCGTGCAGAGATACCACAGATACTGGAGGTCTGGAGATTACATAAGTGCGGAGCTATGGTCTCCCCGTGCTGGCGACCGGGGCACAAAGGCACAACGATGGGAGATCTGATGGGCACGAGGATTAGGAGCTGGATCTGAAAGGCGCCAGGCCAGTATCAGCAGCGAGCGAGACTGCTGCTAGTCTCTGAATACACGCACATACAGCGCAGGCAACAACACATGTATACATAAGGATACAACAATGCACTCAGTCACAATAGCGTACATGTTAGCATTGTGCTCAGCAGGACTCGGCTGAGCTGCGTCATATGGGCACACTTACGCGGAGAAGGGAACAGGCAAGAGGGATAAGAAAGAGAGGAGGAAATCTTTTGTTTTGGGGCTTTAGCTAAGTCGAGTCTGGTCAAAGAAGCTGGGCTTCAGTCCTGAGGATAAACATTTCCTCCACTGCTGGGGCCGGCGATGGGAAACCAGGACGGTGAGTCGTTGGGGGAGGGGGTTGGACGTTGTCTGAGGAAAACCAATGCCAGACCAGGCCGAGGTTTGGGTCTGGTCGGGTCTGGTCTGTGGGAACCTCTCGAGAGCGACGCGAAATCCCGGCGATAGAGTTACACAGGCTGGCTAAGGTTTTTAAACAAAAACACACAACAAAATAACCACAAGACAAAACGATTCCCGTCGCCCAGTCACACGCATGTTCAGAGCCGAGCTGATGATTTGGGGATTGTGGGGAACCAGCTTCAGTGATATTATGAAACAAGAGCAGGCCCTGAGTGTTGCCGCTTATTTCTCTGGGAGTCTTCAGAGAGAAAGAGGCTGGAACAGATCAAAGTTGTCGATATCACGTACTTGTGAGATCTCGTCCGAGCTGTCTCAGGTCTCTGTTGAGGTCATCGAACTTGACCTGTGCTGCCAGGAAGACGTCCTGAGGTTCAGGAAGAGGGAACGTACACTTGTCTGTGCCGGCGTTCTGTCGGGACACAAACACAACAACAAGTTAAACCCCAGTTAAACCAGGAAGTGAGATTTATGTTGTGTTTTCTGATAAATACAGACGTCATGCTCCTGGTGCACATTAAGGGATAGTTCCACAGAATTGTACTTTTTAAGTAGAAACACTACTTACCATGTTTAATGGGTAGTAACACAAGGAAGTTTGGTACAAAAACTATATTTGCAAAGTCTGTGTTTTTCTTCTTCGTACCTTGTCCACATTGTGCAGGTAGTATGACACCACATAGTCCACCAGGCTGATACGATTGTCCTGAAACATTAAAAACAATAATTAACATGATTTCCCCGCTCAGATAACGACGTGGCTGCAAAGAGATCACATGCACCGTGTGATTCAAACATGTGAGTGTGTGTTCCTTGACTTCATAGTGTAATTGTTTTAGGTCATTCAGAGTTCGGCCTGAAGAAAGAGAGAACTCAAACTTCCACTGTTATCTCACAGCGACTGAGGCCTTACTCTGCTCTTGACGTCCTTGAGTTTAGGGAGGATCTCCAGGCCGAAGCCGTCAGCCTGACCTCTGGTCCTGCTGCCTCCGTTCATGTGGTTCCCCAGAGCCAGCACCAGTCCCATCATCTCCCTCACGTCGTTACTCTCCACCAGGGCCTTCAAACAGAAAACGAGTGCAGGGTCAACCACTTTTTCATATTTGAAATCTGGTATTTAAAGAGCATTAGCACTGTATTGAGTGGGTTGACTATCGGGTGCTTTTTTTCCTACCTTGCAGATGGAGGAGACAGTGCTGAGCTTGCGTTGGACGGACCCGATAGTGTCGATGAACGCCGACTGGAAGATGATGCAGTGAGCTCTTCCTGCAAAGTCCGGGATCTGAGATAACTCATAGAGGAACCTGGAGGCCCAACACACAATCAGTGAGAAAACATCCCATAGAGAGCCTCTAACAGAGCCTGGACTCTGCAGATATATTCTCTGAACATTTCTGTAAACGGAGGATGTACTGACTGTTCAGGTTTGTCCAGGAGTTTAACTTTCTCTTCCTCTGACATCTCGTAGTGTTTCTTGATCTTCTCCAGCTCCTCGGGCTGAGCTCTCTGACACATTGACAATAAAACATTACTCAGGGCTTCATAACTGTGCAGCTACTTTTGTAAAGTTTGGTGTGTTACGTACATTTTCATACAGAGCTTCAATGGTCTCCAGGTCCACAACGGAGTGGTCCACAGTCAGCACAGCTTGAAGTGGGGAGATAACAGATTAGGTCTTCAGGCGCTGATCCACAATATTCCTTTAGATTTATTAATGTTATCATGATCTACGTGTATACGTCTAAAGGCAGCGATTCAGCCGACATGCTAAAGGTTCACCAGGACTTTTCAGTTGGCTCTGAAAATCAATGTTTGTTGGCTCTTACCTGGAAAAAATAAAATAAAATGTCAGGTGTCCTGTGTAGCTACAGTCACGTGAGCAACAAAGTGTTGAAGGTGGAAATGCTCAAAATTCTAAAAGTCTTTTATCATAAGATCATAAAAAAACTTGATTTTCACCAGAGGAACCAGAGGCTTTAATGGAAATGATTGAATGCTAACAGGGGCTCTTGCGGCTCTCGGATGTTCCGTGTTCTGGTTTATTGGCGGAAACAAACAACAAAAGTAAACAGGCTAAACAGAAAACTGCAGATCCCACAAACATCAAACATTCCTCTCAGTGGGACACCCGCTCTGCTGTTTGAGACGCAGATCGCCTCTCTGTAACTGTCCTGCTGACATTGTGGTGAGAGTTTCAGCCTTTAATCCCACTTTAGATTCACCAGCAGCTCATGTTCCTGAGTGAAGAGCAGCGTGAGTTCAGTGTGATGCCGGGGTTAAAGGTAAACAAGGGGGATGTTCAGGGAGCTGAGTGTTTACAGAGGGAGGACCGAGGTTTAAACTGTGGGACTGACTGAGAACACAGATGATTTACTGTGATCCACCTCTTCTATAACAAACAAGAGCATGTTTGTTTGATTACACACTAAGGTTTCAGCGGTGGTTTCCATCATGATCTGAATCATAGACTTTAAAGATGGACGACATGACAACTCCCTGAAAGTGAAGCCAAAGCGTCTTGATTGCCCCCTGGTGGATGGCTGCAGTGTAGGTCTTAAACCATGCTCTTAAACCAAGTTCTTGTAAATTTGACTTTTGAATGGATCCATGATCCATCACTCCTAAAATCAGAATATATGAAACGCTCCTGAACTCACCTTGTTGTATATCTTTCATCTCCAGGTGGAGGCTTGATATGAGGATGCCCACGGCCTGAGAGCGTTTACCGTCCAGCAGCTTAATGATCTAAACACACACACACACGCACACACACTGTTACCATGACCACCTTGCCACTAGAAACCATTAGTGAGTCATTAGTAGAGTGTATTGTGAAAAGAGGCTAAGGTCATATTAGTCATCACCCTGATGCATTAGCACTTTTTGCATTAGTGACCAGAGTTTCCACGAATGGAGAATTTATTAATCTGCATAATTTACTGTGAGTTACTGAGAAAAGACAAAAGCAACCTTACAAACACAAATTCATGTTGAGTTCCTCTTTTGTAATTTTTCTGTTTCTCATTTTTAAATCATTTAAATATTGTACTTTGAGTTGACTTGTAGCGTTGTTGTTCTTACTACATGAAGAAGAAGCAAAGATAAATGAATTGTACAGGTAAAGAATCGCAGCCCTGCGAAGGTTCAGGATTTGGGAATCACTTTCACAATCACACAAACTATATGACTATGACCTATATTAAATAAATGCAGATTCCTACTCTTTGCCCTTTAAAAACTATTCAAACATATAAAAGAACTGTGTCTATGTCTTGTGTTTATAATTCTGAAAGCTCTGTGATGATCTGGCATCTGCAAAGACCAGGCTTTAACCCCATCAAGTGGACAACAGTCGTATTGCAATCTCCTAAATGACAAACCATCACTGCCTCTGTCGTCTTTGACTTCAGAAAATGTTCCCATGAGCAGAAAGGAGTTTTGTGTCATGTAGTTTTATGGTGTTTCCCACGTTACCTTCCTGGATTTGGCTTTCTTCTCATACGCCTCAGACAGCGGCTTCCTCTTGGTCTGTGTGGTGGTTTTGGCAAAAAGATCCTCAAACTCGCTGGTGTTGATGATATTTGGTTCCTCTAAAAGGTTCCACAGTGTGTTGTTGCTGAGGGAGAGACAAGTGCTTATTACTTCACCTTCTGTTTTCATTCATTTCATTTCAGAGAAGAAACTTAATATACACCCAGTTAATAAGGGCTCTCTCTAGATCGCACTGAATTATTAGACTTTTGTTTTTTACTTTATTTAAAGGTCATTGTGGAGATCCGTCCCCTTTGAATGAAACAGTACTTCATGTTCTTGGTAACTGGTTGACTGAGTCTGTTTGGTTATGAACGTACTTGTTGTCCTGCATCTGGATCCTGCTCCAGTAAAGAGGCTTCATGGGTCTGGACGGCTCCACCGCTACTTTCCTGGGAGGCTTATCCAATAAGAAACCTCCCCCTGGAGGAGGGGGAGGTGGTGGGGCTAAGCCTGGCATGGATGGAGGAGGCGGTGGTGGTGGTGGAGGAGGTGGAGGTGGAGGAGGAGGAGGAGGAGGGAGATTGTTTGTTTTGTTGGTTAACGTTGCCGGAGCAGGGGCTGGTGGTGGCTCTGTTTGAGGTATCGTGGCTTCAGGAGGAGGCAGAGTTTGGGATGGAGGGACAGGGGGCGCTGAGGCGTCCCACTGACCGGCCAGGCTCAGGCTGATAGTGGCCAGGTCCAACTTTCTGGGAGTCACCTTCTGCGGCCGAGGACTCGTGCTTGTCCTCCCTGCGCCCTCTGCATCCTCTGGAGTTTTGACGAAGGTCTCTCTGTCCGTCTGGACGCAGACGGTGCGGAAAGATTTTTGTAAACAGTCATCTCCAGTGGACACAGCGACGTCTCTGAGTTCCCCTCTGCAGTGGGTCCCAGCCTGGGAGAGTTTGGCCTGAAGCTCAGCCACAGTGAACTCCAGTCGGGCGACGCTGTCCTCGTTCTCCACCCGTAGTCTGGAAAGTTCCTGACCGAACTCCTCCTAAAAAAATAATGCTGGTCAGACTGCAGCTCTACTTTAGAAGCACAAAGATAAACTTTCATAAACCCAGAAAATCAAATAACATCAGTAAACATCACTGCAGTTTTAAAGATATTTACAATATCTGCAATGACATTTCTGTCCCACAAGAAAAACTCTTGTACAGAGATGATGTGGTATTGATCTTATCATCTAACTCACGAAGATAAAAAAGAAATGATACAAGTACATAAATGTGTTGACACTGAACCAGAGTTGAACACTTGTTCCTTCACGCTGACCTGTAACTTCTCCAGCTCCTCTTTGCATTCTCTCTTCAGCTGCAGCAGAGCGGCCTGATGCTCTGGGAGGAAACACAGCAGAGACACAGTAGTTTTCTCTCTTCTCCCACAAACACATGTTCATCATTACAGCTGCGGTGCCTCAGAGTCCTTTCTTTACCTCGTTGGGTACGTTAATGATGTGGCTGCGTATTACAAGCCGCAGACAAACAAACTGCGACAACTGTGAGACATGTGAAGACTGCAAACTCATTTTTCAGAAGAAAAAAAACACTTTTATTTTTCACCGCTATGTGAGTTTTAGGGGAATTTGAAGATTTACTGCAGTTGTTCAGGGACAGACTGGGTCAAAAACTGAATAAATCATCAGGTGAGGGCAGCAAAGCCTCCAATGTAATATCAAAACACAGAAAAGCTGACAACTCGCTGGCTGCAGCTGCTGCATTAAAAAAAACTAAGCAAACATTTAGCCTGAATGTATTGAAGAGTCAGGTGCAAAGTATATTTAATGTCTTCACAGTATTTACAAGCTCCGTGTTTTCAGGTACACACCTGCTGTGTGTGTGGAGCGTCAAGTGAGGTGGTTGGTTTGAACTCTTTCATCGCTCAAAATCATTATGAATTAAATGTGATGTGTTATTTGCGAAAACTCGGATGAGCATCTTTTCTATCATGAAAATTAGAATTTAAATGTGTGTTCAACGCTACTGCCTTTTAAGTGATAACCCCGTGAGTTATGTAATTCAAGTTTGAAAATAAAAATCGATTCACTCGAGAGCGACACAGCTTCCTAACCGGCAATCTAGAATCTTCTTCACTTTCTCGGGAACAGCAGCGTCACAACCAACACACTCACTGTGGACACACACAGGGCGGAGCTGTGTTTGCTTTAGCAGGAGCTCATGATGGTATTTCTGTGTGTGCATTTTTATTTTAAGCTTTAAGGGCGGAGCTAATGTCAGTGTATTCACTTCACAACTCCCTCTCACCTTAAAGACCTCAGGTTCATCGTGTGAACACTGGTTAATCAGTGGGTTTTAAATTAATTAAATTGTATGTTGGGCCCGGGCAGTGGTTTGTGTTCGACTGAGTGACATTCTAGTTTTTCTTAATTCAAGTTTCTTTTACTGTTAATGTCAAGAAGTACCTGCTTCAGTGTACTTGAGCCCAACTTTTTCCTCCTTGACTGGCGGCCAGACGGCTTGTAAACGACCAGGAGTTCGTTCCTCTCCCTCCCCCGGCGTGGAAGCCTCTGACTAGAGAGAAAAAGAGTTCGACGACAGATTATACTTTCTTCTTCTTAATACATCTTGTGCATAACTGTTTGAATAAAGATGTATTTGTAAAAGGTTGAATCAAATATAGAGAAAACAGTAAGTTATAAATACAGTTTATAAGATCCCACACTACTTTAGTTGGGTCATTGTGGTGAAACGCTCCGTGTCGATAACATGATGCATACTTTGCCGTCAGATGCATCTTTCTTCTCTGGCGTGTTACTGGAGGTTTTCTCAAAAATGGCTTTCAACTCGTCTTTGTCAGTTCTTATCTTCTTCCTCACTGCGTCCAGGTTCACTTTCTCTGCCGGGTCCTTCTTCAGCGGCTTTGGGCTGAAAAAAGCCTTGAAGGCATCAAACGCTGCCTCTGCACTCGACACCGGAGATTTCTTAGAATCAAACGACCCCGACCTTTCTACATCCTCCTCTTTTTCAAAGTCCTCCTTCTCTTGACTCTCCTTATTCTCGGTTTCATCCTGGTCTCCCTCAGCCTCCGTCCTCTCCTCTTTCTCGTCTTCTTTCTTTTCCAGACTCAGAAACTGAGAGATCTGGTCCAATAAGCTCCCCTGGACCCTGGCGTCCTCCGGCCTCCCTGGGAAAATAGCCCTCCTTGCCCGCAGAGACTGAGGTCTGATGTGGGACACAGTGTCGTGCTCGGGCCCGACCACCCCTTTCCTCAGCACCCTCAGGCCGCTGAACAGGGCCGGGAGCTGGATCTGCCTGTCCGTGGGGGAGCCCGGCGAGAAGGTGGCTCTGGTGAAGGTGGATCCAGTATTCGATAGATTATCTTGTGGATTGTGGGGATGTTGGTGGAGCTGGGTGAACAGGTCTGGATGACTTTTTTCTTCTTCTTCCTCATCCTCCTCCTCTTCATCAGTTTCAGAGCAGGAGGGCTCAATGTTTTGCTCCAGTGTTGGTTCAGAGAGTTCTGTCCCAGTCACTTTTAGCCCAACATGTATTGTTGTTGCAGACACCTCGGGGTGAAAATGCACATCTGAACTGTCCGCAGTTCTCACATCCTGGTTGCCTTCTTCACCGCCATCCTGCTTGACACCGTTTGGCACGACGCAACCACAATCTATATTTGTGCACTCAGCAGAAATGTGTTGACATTTCGGCTGCAGAGACGCGTTCAAGGCACATTCGTCCAGGGAGTTCTCTGTTCTGTGAGAACCACTTACTTTGTCGCAGTGTTTGTTTGGCATTTCAGGGACATTTTCCGTGTTCACAGCCCTGCTGTGCTGCTCTGTTCGGTTAAATTCATTCCTCTCCTGCTCCGTGTGGTCTGAGTCATTTCCTCCTCCTGTCTCTGAGGTCACCTTCTCTCCTTCATGAGGCATTATCACATAAAATAAAGAATCTTTAAAGTTCATATCCTCACTTTTCTTTTTAGTAAGACTCAGCTCTTCCTGCGTCATCTCCTCATTTTGCTCATCTGAAAAGGTCCTGAACATTTTGAGAAATGCTTTTTGCTTCTCCATTTCCTGCAAGTAACAGTTGCTCATAGGAAAAGTGGGAACGTTATCCAGAGCAGAAGGTTCTGAGAAGTTTTTACCACAACATCAACATTGTGGCTGCTGTTTAAACTGCTCATTTCTAAGACTTGAGTGCAACATCGTGGTATGAAAAAGCCTAATTCTAGTCTAATTGGTGTTTAGGCACCTGTACAACATGCACTAATGCTGGTTCCAGGATCATGCAGCGTCAATAAACGAATGCAAATGTCATTATTTCTGAAAATCCAACCTGTTTCTGCTCCAGCTTGCTGAAAACATGTAAATGTGTCCTTTCCCTGTTAAAACAGCTCCTTCATGTTTTACCAGAGAACTGATTTTCCAAACATAAAACTGGAAGGAGCTGTTAGTCACCCAGAGCAGCCAATGACAGGACAGAAATCCACCAAGTCGTGGAAAAGTGTAGTTTTCCGAGGCCGGCTCCACGCATGTCTCTGCAGGCTGGAGTGAGTCAGCTCGGCTTCAGTCCCAGTGAAGTTAGATCCAACCCCAGGCGTGAGCGTCCAACTTCTGCCTTCTCTTCCTTCCAGCTCAGCTAAACCTGCTGCTGTATTTCACATCCCAGACGTGGTGCGGCAGACTGTCAGAGTGTAATTGGGAGCAGATGGCGTCTTTAGCCACTGTTTCTGACAACACAGTGGCAGATCCGTGGAGCATAAGGCGGAGGAGGCCACCCACAACAGATGGAAGGACACCACACCCAGAGCTGCAGGAGGGTAAACAGGCCTGCCAGGGATCACTGTGTTAGACGTGTGGGTCTGAAACCTTGACGGGGAGGTCTCTCAGCTCCCCTGCAGCTCCCGAGCAACACACGGCTAATCTGGACGATTTAGGTTCTAACCCCACCTACACACACACTCTCACAGAGAGTGTGGCTTGTTTGAGTTCTTGTTTCCAAAAATAGAAGTTGCAAAATAAAAGTGCACATCATGTCACAGTCAAGTTTATGATGCAGATCAATTCAAAAGACAAATAAGGTTTAAATTATCTTTAACAATCAACAACTCTCTGGATAAAGTGACAGTTTTATTCATAAGAGTAAAAACCAACAATAACACAACTAAATTAAATTAAACTAAAAATAAGCCTGTATGTAACTTGCTGTGTTTCAATAATACACCAACCACCCTTCCTCCGTCAGTGGTTCATATTTGTGTTGTGTTCAGGACTCGCCCTTGTTTGCTCTCCTATTATCACAGCGAGTGACAGATCACATTGGTGATAAACTTTTTTCTGTGTGTCATTACATCATCTAACTTTCCCTGACAACTCCTGTAGTCAGAGAAAAGCCTGTACCCTGCAGCGGTGATTTAACTGGCCACACTTAATCTCATGAATACTACTAATAAAGTGTTTTTGCATTCCCTGCAGGGAGGGACACTGTGGCCTTTATGTGAGTTTATGTAATAAGAGTGAATCCAGATAATCCCATGAAATAGCATTAGACTCTGAGCACACACACAACACTCCTGAACAAACACACCGGATTGTTTCCAGCATTACGAAGCAGAAATCTAACGTGTAGAATTTATAGATCACAATGATAAACTGTTTTATTTAATCGATCTAACCATCTCTTCTGATTTCTTACCTGAGCTCTTTGATGCTCTAATACACATTTTACACATTAAACACTCACTCCTCTCTTATATTAAAACATGGGATGTGTTCAGGAAGACTCCATTAAACTGTAACCTGTAAATACTCAGAATTTCTCTTTATAGAGTCAGTTGTTGAGATTATTCTCTGTGATTTAAAGCCAGAAAAGTTAAATTAGGATTAAAATCTAATTTATGAGGCTACTTTCTAATTTGATTTTTTAATTTGGGGAAATATCA